TGCCAGGCATGTGCTGTAGAAATTAAGCAACTTTTAGAAAACACATTTGCCATTTCAACGTAAACGGCTCGATTGCACCCAAGTGTCTAAAAAAAGGGAGGTTCTGCTTTAATATGGAGTGATGTGTCAAATTTAAAGCAGCCTCAAAAGTGCATACATTAGCATTTTTTTTACCTTACTTGGAAAAAAAAGACCAGCTTATTTTTCCAGCAGAGGGCTTTACACTTAGTGTGGATTTGACCTTTAATCCTGACTGTCAGCTTAATGAAGTTTGATGACATCAGTTCTCTTTGTTTTTTTAAGTAAGATCAATACATCCACTACTCAAAGTCTGTAGGTAAAGATAATCTAACAAAAAGACTGACAGAGACTAGACAGAAGAGGGATGTAGAAAAGACCAAAGAGAACCCCTTTCTCCAATCCAATCAGTGAGGAGGCAGCTGAAAAAAAGGTGTGTGTGTGTGTGAGTGTGTGTGTGTGTTTTATGATCCAGTGAGCACAACGGTTCAATGATCAAACCATAACTCAATGCTTAAATGCTCACATACGTACAGAGAGGTACACCGCGTCAGATTTTCCAAATGTTCATGTTTTGAGGAGTAACACAACTTCACTACACTCCATATTGTACTCACAAATAGAGCTAAATACACACAGGCTGGGCGAGAATTTCTAATCTTCTTAGCAATCACAAGGTTCGACTGTTGCAACAGAACAAAGTTCACATAGTCAATGAAAACAGAGGCGGCTTCTACCAATGAGAGAGAGTGACAGGGAGGTAAAAGACAACAACAGATAAAACACAAAGACAGACAGAAAAGACGGGAACAGTAGGAGAAGTCACTACTGTTACCTGAGGTTTTACCCATGGACTGAATCCATCATCTCTTTTTTTTTTTCTCCATGCGGAAATATTGTCTGGATTAACTCAACCGGTTCTGATGGGACACAACTTTCAAAATTCAGGTAAAAAAAGTGATGTGACAGCCATTGACTCCCACTCACGACGCTGTCAACTGAAGCAAACATCACATCAGGAAGGACTGAGTCTGGATGGATCAGGTGGCATATTTGGCAGCACTCTGTGAGTCATTTTCAGCTGCAAAGTGCACACATTCAAACCCTCCCTTTTTTTTGGAACAAGCCATATGTAAGTAGCTTTTGAAATACAGTCATATTTTATTTTGTATATAGCTTTAACTTGTGGTCGCTGGCTTTAAGAATATCAGCAGTGGCATGTGGACAAGCGCATGAACAACACAGCCTGCAGCCATTCAGACATTAAGGGTGTTAAGGAAAATAGACGGACTACTTTCTATTTGCATAAAGTACAACGAGCACTACTTGAGTCAACAAAAACTGCCGTGCTGATTAAATCAGGGCTGTTTCACTCATATGAAAATAATAAAATGATAAAGAGATTTACTTTAAATCAATGTCAATGCAAATTAGACTAAGGTTGCCTAATGCAAACATATACTTTAATATAGGTTTCATTACCACTGAAAGCAGTATTCTAGTGATTCTTTGCCAGTTCCAGGCTGGATTGATTGAGGGAAAATGTAAAACTACTAGACCTCCATTATGTCCCTTATCTCACTGTGATGGTAAAGATTAATGCTGGTCTGTTTTCAAAGTTTAAAAAAAAGGCTATTAGGGGCGCTGGTGGCGCAGTGGTTAGTTTGCGCGCCCCATGTACGGAGGCTATAGTCCTCCAAGCGGGCAGCCAAGGTTCAAATCCGACTTGTGGCTCTTTTCCCGCATGTCATTCCCTGCTCTCGCTCTCTCCCTGATTTCTGACTCTCTCCACTGTCCTTTCTCTCCAATAAAGGCACAAACCCTTCATTCATTGGTTCAATGCTTTAAGGTCTCTGTTTTATTAAAAGCACAACCTAAAGTGCCTTTGTTTGTGATATACCTGGACTAAGCACTTCCATATTAAGGTTTTTAAGTGTATTGTCTTTGTTTTAACTGAACATGTATATTTCTGTTTGAGTACATTTAGAACGAAAAAAAACAGGTTCATCTTTGTTTGTGTGTGCACAAACCTGAGCAACACAGCGAACTCTGACTGGTGGTACAGATATTACTTTAAAGCATTTACTTCCACTCTGCTGGCCTTTTCTTTAGCTTTACTTTGAAATGTTATCATTTGTGTGCTATTAAAACAACAATCAGGTCTAAAAGACTTTCTAGCCTACTTTTAATCTCGGTGCCTCCACAACATTGATTATCACTAAATTAATGCCAATTTAAAATTAAATATAATCATGTCAACCCTGACTTCTTCCGTTCTTCTGTTTGCTTCCTCCCATGCAGGAGCAGCATGGAGGTCCTGAGTGGACTCTGGGCCGATCTGGCTCTGCTCCTTCGACAGATCATCACACAGACAGACACAGAGACAGACAGCTTTCTTCCTCTCTGGCTGATTGGCCTGCTGCTGTTCCTGTCTGTTTGTTTCCTGCTGCTGCAGCTGATTGTCTATCTCAGCTGGAAACTAAGACAGGGTAGGCACGTTATAAACTTTTCATGTGTAGTCCTCTCCAGACCTCTTCCTATGTTATATTTACTGAGCTGATGTGTAGCTGAAAGGATACTGTAGGGAGATGCTATAAATACATACACTCACCACAGCATTGTAAAAGCGTACTGTAGAAGAGGGATTCCACTGCCTGTCACAATCAAAGCTGTCACTTCCCACTATATTTATATTATATAGAGGGACTATTATTATTCATAAAAACCTCCACAGCACTACTGTATCTGTACATAAACACATTCAACCAAACTTGCAGAAGTCTAATATTCACTTTGTCTTTGAACAATACCCGGCAGCTCAAGTGGCAACCAGGTAGAAAAAACATCCTCAGGCCCTGAAGCTTGACTGTACTCTGAATAATGGAAGACATCCAAAATAAGCTGCGAGAAAAAAACAACTGAAGAGTTGACAAAGTGTCATTTTCAGAATGAAACCAACCTGTGAAGATAACTATCACTCTGATTATTATGCCTATTCTGGGTTGTGTTTAATGTTATTCTATGTTTGTGATGGAGAGGGTAACTGCAGACTGTTAGTCTCCTCAAAGCATGAAAAACTTGAAAACATGGCTTTTCCGTCCTCTGTTGTTTGTGCTCGGATATGTTGTTCTAGTAGGTTACCCCGACCCCTTAGAGCCCCTTGGCTGTGACATAAACTACTGACACACAAACTCAGTCGCACACACATCCAGCACAGATCAAGGGTTCACCTTCAACATCTGCTCCCATTGGATATATTATAAAGCAAGATTGGTTTCACACAGACTCTCCTTAGATTGGCTTTAGATAATATAGTCTTACTGTATAATGCTACTGTGAAGATATAGTAGGAAAAGACAAAACAATAACAACAACAAAGTTATTGGCCGTCTTCAAACTATTTAAACCCGTCATTGAACCGCACTATCACGTTTCTTAATTACTATGAAACTGGTTATCAAATAAATCACTGGAACGCAAAAACGTAGAAGAATGAGTAGAAATTAACTTTTTTTTTGTTTCAATGTTACTATTCTTTTGAATCTGTTTTAAATGTTACATCCTCTATAAATAATGAAATCAGAGGACTTGATACTGCAGGAAATCAGGAAAGTGGTTGTGACTGTTTCTGTGTTTTTTGCTGGTGTGCTGGAAGCATCATCTGATGTCTACTTTGAGGACGCTTTTTCTTACACCTGTAGTCTACAGTTTGTCACTGGCACTCAAATGGCTGGAAAGCACCCTCTACTTTAGAGTTATGTGTTTTAGTACCTTGGTGAGAAGTACTTCTCTCCACATCTGTGATTTAGTCACGAAAAGACAAAAGCTAATGATGCATTTTAGCAGGATAATTGAAGTGTTTGGGAGCACAAGGCAGCACTTTGAATGTAAACTCACTCAGTCCTGTGGTGCTCCTCACTGCTGTCTTTCCTTGTTGATTTAGAGAAGAAACATCAAGCAGGCCAACTCCACAGCTAGTAAAAACATTACAGCTGTTATTTAGCATTTATTTCAGTAACAGAAAGTGGGAAAACATCAAACTATTACCTTACTAAACTGATTAACAAACAATGTTAGCTAAGTAAATGTCTCTTATAGCAATGCATATATATTTAAGTTGATAGTTAGCTTGCTCCGGCTTTTTTTTTTTTTTTTTTTTATCTGTCAACTGTGGACCATTCATATTTAGACTTATTTACCTTTCTTATATTTTCGTTACAACTACTGACATTATCTACCTGCTGTCAGCCCTGTTAACACTGCTCGAGATGCGGCTCTCACTGCGCATGCGTGTGTTCTTCGTTGTTGTAATTGTTACCAGAATGTTAAGGCTAGGGCTTTTTCGCGGCTAATTGGTTGCAATAAAAAAAAAAAAGTGTTTATTTCAATGTATCAAATTTACGATAGCCGATGAGACTGAAAAAAACAACAACTTTTGGGCATCTCTAGTATTGATCTTCTTTCTTCTACTTATTGTGTCTTTCATGCACAGTTGAGGCTGATTTGTCGGGGTTACCACAAGACAGAAGCGCCATCTACAGGCACCATGAGAGAAGTGCACACCTGAGGAGGAGGAGGAGTGTTGGATAGCAGTGACACACCTGACAGAACTCACCGGCCGAATGAATCGATCTCTACGGGTTTAAGGACCTTACAGGCACATCTCTCTGACACAATGAAAGTGCCTTAACAAGATGAATGTTAATACAGCCTGTAAATAACAACACTATAATAGATGTGAACTTACTTGAATACTGGTAGTATTGAAGTTAAAGGCATCTTGTAGTGTTTATATGTATTTATTTCTAACTTACTGTATAAATGTAAAACAAACTTATCAGACAATTGTATGAGCATGTTTTTTTTTAAGTCACTGTACCAACTTGTAACAATTATATGTATATACTGTTAAATTCCCCATCATAGTTAAATGTGCTTCAGTATATCAATAAATAAATAAATAGATTTATGAAGACAACAGATTTCAGAGTATAACAATCCTTTATTTAAACAGTGTTACACAGGGGAGGAGTGGCTGCGTGTGGGGGAGACACAAGACAAACAAGCTGCTAGATAGAAAAAAACCTACAGTGATCATTGATTGGCTAAGAGTGAAACCGTGAGGCAGCTGTGGTGCGGTTTTCCAAAATGTCTTTCTTTACAAAGTTTTGAGTAGCTAAAATACAAAATTGTGCTGGTATTAACTGACCTTTCTCTTTTTCATGTGACCGAACTGTATAACAAAGCCTGAGATGTGTGAAGAGTGTAGTCCAATCATTGTTTGCCTTTTAAAGCTTCATGAGCCTCAAATACAGAGAGAGGTTATTTTCTTAATAATATCTACTATGATGGCAGTATGTTACTTTTTCTGTGTGACATTTCCCTCCATGATGTCTCTATGTTCAGAACCCAAACAGTTTGAAAATCAGCTTGCATTATATCATCATAGGCTGCTTTGTGTGGCATGGCGACCACAGAAAATGTCAAACTGTGTCTGTGTTTTTTTTGTATTTTATTAAAAGTCATTGATTGTAAAACAATTTTTTCTGAGATTATTTTCAGTCAGCATTTTGGAAAACCTCAACCTCGCTGTCCCAAAGCTCCTGTGATGAGTGAAAACAAAGCCCAGACCCCTGTAAGGAGGCCAAACATGGGGCTAGAAGTAAAAAAAAAAAAAAGAAAAGAAAAATCAGTTGTGGAAATGATTTGTAGTGGTGTTCCTGTCAAAACCACGGTGACAATATTAAAAAATATCCAAGAGAGTGAACAACAAATCCCATCTTTTGACTACTAAACCAGCTTCACAGAGAAAAGACAAAATGAGAACATCTACAAACATAGCTACAGATTTTAATCGTAGAGGAGCAAAAGCGTCCAAAGCTGCCTAAAGATTCTTAAATGTTTATTTCTGCTGCTTCATTTCTTTGCAAGAGGGTCAGAGATTAAAGCGTGCCATCAACTGGAATGTTATTTGACTGCATAGTAGAGGACCAGACCAGTGTTTCACAATAAAAGCCAAGGCTGTCATTACCACTCCGTCGTTTCATTTTTTAAGACAAAAATGTAATTATTTGATTGACTCCAATTCAAATTTCCAACATGTTAGATTGGTGGATCAAACAAATCTAGGCAGGTACAGGTGGAATTTTTTTATACCAATCTGTGGAATTTCTTTTCTGACAATCAGTTTAATTCCATTCATCCATTTTTGTTTTGAGTCGACTCAGTGCTTCAGACCAAGCACCTTCTTTTAACCTATTTAATGCCACCAATACTAACACAGCTGCATTTAGTGGAAATGTTCGGCTGCACATTTGAGTAAAAAGACAGAAAATGAATAAAACATGAAAAGAATCCATTTAGGGGTCTCAAGAGCACTTCAAACCCTCGGATACATTTCCCTTTGATGCTGCATTTTACAGTTCTGCTGTAACTGTTTCCATGTGTGTCTGTAGTGTACTGAACACCACAGGTCTGTTTGTGTGTGGTTTAAAAATGTGATATACAACTGACTGTCATTTTGAAATAATGGACATGATATCCCTTTCATGCTTGTGAATATTTGGTTGTGGTGAAACAGTTACAGCACAGCCAGTTACGACACACTCTACACACTCTCAAACCAATCACCACAGTAACCTTCTATCTAGACTCACTCAAGATACTCTTGCAAGATAGAAATGTGAACACATGCTGAATTTAATCCCATGTTTTTTTTTTCTAGCTTTATTGGTATATTCTAATCATGTATGAAAAGAAGCTGAGAGTGAAACTAAGTGCTGAACTAAGATGACAAACGGGCTCTAATGCAGAGTTATTCAAATCTGAACTGGTTTCAAGTTGCCCTTATTTTGGTACCTGTGCTTATTTCACACACAAAACTCTTTCTGTATCGTTTGAAATGGCAGATTGTGGATTAAGCACCAACCTTAATATATTATAAACTGCTTTATTTACTCACTGCAGGATGCAAAGTAACATGAGTGAACATGCATCACCATACAAATGTCTTCTTTCACTTCCAGTTTGGAAGTTTCTTTTACTGCACAACGCCACCTCTATCTCCCAATTAAGCTTCAGTTTCCTGGTCCTAATCCCCAAACTAAAGTCTGCTCCCTTGCTCCCCTGTGGCCCGATGGGAATGGCTAATGTGGTACAGTGGGCGGGCCCAGAGAGAGCGTTTCGCTAATAAAAAAAAGCTGCATAACTGCTCCCATCTAAAAACCTTCATTTGTACTTCACAGAAAGTAGTATACACCAGCTGTAAGTCAGTTCATCTTCAGTTCAGATTCATGCCTATTAAAATACAGTCAAACTTATCAAATAGAAAAAAATCCCAGCTGCATGGTTTGGCTTCTCCAGCTTAATTTAAGTCACACCCACCAACCCAAATAAAAATCCTCTAACTCCCACCCACTGTAAAAACGCTGAAATGTCTTTTTCTTAAAGTTGCGTAAAAATTGTTTCGAACTGAACATGAACTCACTAAGTGGCGAGTTAACACACAAGGAATGTGGATGAATAAAAACTAGACATACAAAGAAAATAAAAGTAAAGAATTTAAAAAAAATCATCAACTTGGTTGGTTGCTTTTTTTTTATACCTGTGATATTTTAAGTTACAGCTCCTGATTTTCTTCATTTTGAAACAATCAAATGTGAGGATTACAAATGGTTGACTGTGAATGTGTTTTAATGAGTAAGATATTTGAACTACACTTGTTACTGTAAATAATGAAATTACTCAGTTATTTTATAAAACTTCCCATTTGCACAATAATGTAATGAAGAGGGAGCTGTAATTTAATAAAACCCTTTTTTTTTTTCAGGAATGCACCAATATCCCCTTTCCACTGATTAAACAGACTCCAAGTATAAAACGTTTTGACACTTTTTAAAGCATTTTTCTGTTTGTTACTGAAAGTCACTGGTACTGGTGTGAAAACCTCCGTAATGATAACGAATGATAAACAATGAGCCGTGTATCACATCAGGATTGGTTACCAGTGCATCCCTACAGCTTATAATTCTTGCATTATATGACTGACACTATCATCGCTCTGTTTGTAAAACAAACCGTTAAAGAGAAGAAAAAAAAACACTATTAAAAAAACAAAAACAATAAAAACACGCTGCAAATGTTAAACTAACAAAGTGGTTCTATCTTGTTTCCCTCAGAAAGAGTGAGGGTATTCTTTTTCTTTTTTCTTGGTTTTTTGGAGTGAGAGGGGTTTTAGATGCACCAAAGACGTGTTAGAAAGAGCGACTGGGAGAACGGCAACTTCCCTCCGTTTGTTTTACGACTCCCCGTGTTTGTCAGCTCTTCTTGTTTTTCCTTCTTCTCTTCGGTCGGTCAACATTGGTTGTCATAGGGTGATGGAGGTCGTTTGACATCAACAGAGAAAACAGTCACGATGGGCCCTTCAGCTCTGGAAAAAAATACAGACGGGGGCAATCAGCCGGGGAGGTGCGATGATGGTGATTGGCACTCAACAGAAAATAACACCTGCTACTCGCACACACGCACACACACAGACACTCTTCAAACAGTCACTGCCTACCTTCCTAAATTTGATTCTTGTTTCATTTTCTCCTCTGTGATGTGTGTTTAGCAGCAGCAGGAGTTTAATCTCATGATTTTTCTATCGGTAATTAAACCACTTTATGCCCCCTTAAAGTTTTTAAATACCTGCAAGATTACTTTCCACATGAATAATAATAATAATAATGAGTTACTATTATTATTATTACCTGCGTTCTGTCAATCCTCTTCCTCAGCCAGTTCAGTTTCTTTATGAACCACCACTCTGGTGACAGACATGTCAGGATGTTGCTCTTTGGCCTCCTTAATGGCCTGGGCCAGTGCCTACAGTACCGAGGGGCGACCACACAGTGGCAGCACCGAGCACGGCAGGCAGTGGGGAGGGGGAAATGGAGGGAGGAGGAGGGGGGAGTTAAATGAAAAAATTAAATAAGAAGCAAAAAGACAAACAAGAATGCTGGATTTACAGTGAATGTGTACTTCTTAGGGTTAACTGAATGTTGAACAGGGTTAACAAGATGAAGTAAAATCACTACAGACCAGCACATCAAGAGGAAAGAGATTTCTTGAAAATAAATCTCTTTACCAACTTAATGTGGAGAAAAATGTAAATCCAGCAGATCAAACCAAACAAGCAACTTAAACAAACCAGTGGATGAGGCATCGTGCATAAAAGTTCAGATCTGAAACAAATGTTTTTCTTTGTAACATATTAGAGATTTCCTAAAGGTGTTCCAAGTTTGAAAAGAAATCCTCTACTTTAACTTTTTGTAGAGTTGGTGGCATCAATTTAAGCCATCACAAAGTATGAGCAGAGAGAGTCCAAATCATTATGAATCATCCATCACTTTGAAATAATGAAATAATGTCTTTAAATCGATTCCATCAGGTCCTTAAACAAACTTAAAAACTGCGGTCTGTTTGCAGAAGGACCAATCAGATACTTTTAATTATTTGATGAACAGTAAAGGAACAGTATCCCATTTTATAGCTACTCTCAACTACAGGATAATGCAAAACTGAAAGGACCTTCTCATCCAGATGTTAAGATCCTTCAAAACTGAAAGTCTTAACTTTTTATCCAAAACGTTGGTAGCAACAAGACAAGGTCAAAGGAAAAACAAACTGCAATAAAACGAGCAATAAAAATCAGACACAGCATGGCAAACACAAAAAGGCTTAGACACCATTTCCTGGATGTATGGATCGGATGGTGGGGCAAATGACACGTGGGCATCTTCTAGAAAGTGGTCAATAGATCAAGGTGTGCATTCAGACTGTGAGCAACATGGTAGACATGACACCAGACGTCCAACTTTAAATTCCAGCCACAGTACGGTAAAATCTAATGATCTAGGAATGAATATGTAACTATAAGCTTTATTGTTCCCCTTATTATTTCAGGTTTTTTATGTAAAACTTTATGGAAATTTTGACTTTAAAGTTCCACACACACAAAAAAAAAATCCTTTCACAGATTGTTGAAACACCAGATAAGACGCAGGTAAAAGCTGTGTGAGCGCAATTTGACTGACCTGGTCGTGGTCGATGTCACAGTCACCAGTAATGACATGCGTTTCTCAATCCTCGTCTCTGATAGGCCACCCTTTAAGGTCTGCGACAAATTGAACCAAAAAAACAAAAAACCTTTGTTAATTTATAATGGGATAATTATGAACCAATAAAGACCCGACAGTCATGACAGTCCAAATGTCAAAGATGATTAGGCCGTGGTGATAATTCAATGTTAGTTACGGCAGAAAAACGAAGTAGCAGTTTCCATCGTAATGTACGAGAGGATCATTCCTGTGAGTGAGTGTGTTTGTTTGTGTGTGTCTGTTACCTTGGTAATGTGTGTGGTTGTAGTTGTGCACAGAGATTCAGAGGTGATTGTCTGAGCAGTCATCAACACTCCAGGCTCGCCATCACCGTTACCATCAAGCTGAACACAGAGAAGACAAAAGCAGATCATTAGCTGTGCGTTTAGGAGACAATATCCCTGTTGGATCTTTGATGTTTTTGAAAGACTAACAACATGAATTCCCTGGAGGGAGAAGGCATGAACCATGGCAAGTTTAAATGTTTCACACTAATATGGAGAAGAGAGGTTCAAACATGGATGGAAGAAAAATAAAAACCCGGTGTTTCCCAAGTGTGCACCTGTGCGGCCTCGTATGTGATGGTCTTGGTTTCCGTATGTACGATGGGCACTTCTTTTGTAGCTATCTCAGTTTTCTGGGCTGCAAACGTGTCTGATATAGTCACCATTTCTGTCTTTACCACGGGCGGCTAGAAGGGGGAGGAGAGAGAAGTGAGGGGGGAGGAGAAAGGGTTAATAAGTTTAAACTGGGAAAGTTAGTGAAACCATTTGTTTTGATCTACACAACTAACTTTGGAGATTTGCTTCGAAGTCAATCAATTTGTAAAAACGTGTTTTTGTTGTTTTCGGGATAAAATGTGAATGCATGCAGATTCAATCTATGTGTAGAATTAAAAGGGATGTTAATAATTTGTTCAAAACACAGTGGATGTATCAACACAACTTATGTGCGAGCGGATGCAGCAAAATCCATGCAAAGAACGAAGAGCTTCCAAAGTCATGTGTGTCAAACGCAGAATGTGCCAACGTGCAACTCCAGCAATGTACAAGCAACAGCTACAACGGCAACACAACAACAACATCTTTGGCGCCGACGTGCAACTCAAAGTACGACACCCACAAACATGCATAAAAAAAAAAAGAGGAGGCCCATACAAAAAAAAACATGCAACACTCAAAATATTTGGCAAACAGCACTGGATATGTAAACAGCATGCAAAGATGACATTCAGATGAGCAGATGGCACTTCCAAAGTGATTGGCAATGATGATTTCCACAATGCAGTTTCTATGGTGACCGTGATGGGCCAATTCAACATTTAACAGAAAGAGAAGCATCAGTGCCAAACACGTGGAGGACACACAGACATGCAAACACAAACAACGTGGGTGGAATGCGGCATGCGGAGCGAATTAAGCAAAAATACACCTAAAAGCATTGTGTACTTCTCAATTAGGCCCCATCTACCGAACAACACTAAAACAATGAGAAGGTGTAAGCATCACAAAACACTATGTGGGGCGGAATGATGGTATGAAGGGTATGAACGTGATGAAAATATGATGTCAAAATTGAAATGAATCACGTAGGGGAAGGATACTTGACACCAACACCAACCACTGATGAGAGATTTTTTTTTTTTTTTTAAATCTACTTTACTCTTTAACATTTCTTTAACTTGAGTGTGAGGGTGTAAATGGGGCTTAAATATTCACACAAGCACAAAAGGAAGGAAACGGCCACTGTGGTAAGCAGGAAGGAAGATGTGGGTGTCTACAGTCGGTAGGAGGGAATCGAAGCCTGGGGGAAACTCCTCTGTCGGCCCGGTGAAGACTTTACCTCAGAGCAACAAATAACCTGCGGCCGCACTTCTGCTTCAACCAGTGAGGCTTCTCCGTTCACTTTGGGCTGTTCTTCTTCTTCTGCCGCCACAGGAGCAACCATCTCGCTAACGGTTTCCTCGTGCAAGTCGAGACCGTTGGGAGCTTCTTTGGGTGTCATCATTGGGTCGTCAGTGCTCGTCTCAGTCTCCTTCTCGCTTTCCTTCTCCTCCTTTGCGCTCGTCTTTTCCTCTGCATCACCCCTCCTGGAATCCTCTACCTCTTGACAGATCGCTTCTTCAGGTTTGATGACTTCAGCTGGCAGAGAAGGAGCGTCTGGAGCTGATGTGTCCTCCTCTTTCTCCTCCTGGTCTTCCTCCTCCTCCTCCTCCTTCTCCTCCGGTATTTGTGTATGAGAGATGGATACAGACACGTTGGGATGGTACTCTGCTTCTTCTTCACTCTCGCTGTCTGATGAAATGCTCTCCTGCTTCACCGCTTGCGCTCCCTCAGCTACCAGCGCCTCCTCTTCGGCTTTAGCTTCCTGCTCATTCATTTCAGGGGAGCTGATCGTAACCGTAACAAGTCCTGGTTTGGGAGCTTTGGAAACCTCTTGGACGACAACCGTTTCTTCGATTTCAACTTCAGTTGTCTATATACACGCACAGACACACGCACGCATGTACACGGAGTGCACAGTCACACACAATGAGGTGCACACACATACACAACAAACGCATGGGGGACAAAAAAAAAAAACATCACATGATCATTGAACATAAAACAAAATCAAAGCGTCTTAAATCAAAAAATGTCACAGGAGAAAAATCAGGACTGAAAAGAAGATGAAGATGTTCAACTGTGGACACAGATGTGAAAGTGAGCAGAACAACAAGGGATATAGACAAAGGAAGAGTGTAAAAAATTGTGATTTGAGGAGGCAATATCAAGCTGGAGGAAAGAAGGGAATGAAGGATGAAAAGCATCATGAATGTAAGTCTGGATTGTTTTAATAGAAGGGTGTTAGGACCACCTTTGCAGGTTCTTTGGTATCAGAGATCCTGTTATCAGCAGCGTCGGCCTCCGATTGGGGCACACTCGCCTGTGTGACAGAGAGGTTACCATGACAATCATCAATCACACTCCATTAGTGAAACGATCATTGTTAGCAATATTGTCATACTTTTTAAACACAACAGAAGGGAAAATGGTTGGATTCGTCTCGTTCCTTTCTGTTTTCTGATTCTTCTCATGCACAATCATGTTCCTTTTTAACACAGTATCAAGGACAAGGGATGAAAGAGTTGACAGAAGAAGAGAAGACAAAGAAACATCCACAGAAGATGGATTACACAGAATATCGCCGTGGAAAGAGAAGCATGTCTTTGTTTGAAAAGGCGCAAAAAGAAACATGGTATTGAAAGAGCAGTTTCTCTATATAGGTCTGTATATTTCTTAATCCAGTCACCTCCTCTTTAGTAGACTGATCAGATTTAACTTTTGAAATATATAACAAAAAGGACTGAAATCACCTGCTCACCCTTCTGTTGAAATGTGTCAATCAAGTTACAATCAGGTCTTTTCTTATGCAGGTTACAGACTCTACGATTGTGTGCTGTTTCAGACAAAAGATTTATAAATATCTGTGGTCATGACTACTTAACAACGATCCTCCATCGCACTGTGGGAGAGGATCAACGATGACCCATCTTGCCTTGCCTCGAATCACAGGTCCCTCATCGCACAGCGTACATGCATGTCGTACCCAACATTATGAAATGTGTCGCGTAGTGTGGCTTGCAATAAACGTGTAAGATTGCAAAAATGGCACGATCTGTAGGATACATCAGAAATGAAAAGACACACCGTGTTCTATATTTGTTTTTCTTTTTGTTTTTTGTTTAACAGTTATACTGTAAAAAGAGGGATCGCTCTCAAAGTTATTTAACCAGTGATGACTGTGATTCTAAATTTTAAAAAGAGGACGAATTAAAAAGCTGTTTCTTTGAGATGATGACCACAGAAACCATGACAACCCAAAAGGCTCAGAGAAAAAGTTTTTTAAAGAATACTGCTCCAATACTTGCTGCTTTTTTTTCCAGTTATTTAACTTTAAAGAGCCTAAAGAGCTGTTTTTTCTTTTAATTTGCATTCAATTTACCCACAAAGTCAGCATATCAAATCAACAGATGACGGCATTCACAGTTGTTTTTTAGATTAGATTCACCATGCACCATCATTCAGGATGAATGGTCCCTGTGGCAACATAAGGATTACAACCATTCATCCAGCACCCACAGCAGGCATTATGGAGAGCTTTTATGTCTTTGGTGGAGGTTTTGAAAAAGTTTGACAAGCATATATTTATTTGTCTAAGACATTAAAGGAAGTCAGTTTACTTTTTTACAGAAGCAAAACTTGCCCCAGTATTCTGTAAGCCCATTAATCACTGCAGGAATAGTGTATGGACTGAATTGAAAGTAAACAGACTCCTTAATGTTTGGCAGCAGCACCTCAGAGCCAAAGAGAGAGGCAGTTGTGGGAATAAGGAGCCCGTGCTCTGAAGCAGTTTTGCAGACGGCAGTGGAAGTAGTAGGAGTAGATGAGAATGTGGTAATAACAGCATCTAGTGTTGGTTCAGGAATGCTGCAGGCAGACAGAGCCTCTGAACAAAAGCCGGTGCCAGAGCGTCTACTGAAAAGTGCAGAAGCTATCTCTTCTTCGAGGCTCTGCAGCACACACACACACACACACACACACACACACCAACACACAATGCAGAGAAGTAGAGAAACAAATGGAAGCATTTAAGCACAGAAAAAGAGTGTAGAAATCCCCTTCTGCAAAAAAAAAAAAAAAAAACATGTAGCAAAACTAGCAAAATATTGCATTACAGTCACAAAATGACCCTTTATCTGCAGGGAATATGACATGAGTCCAGCTGGAAATGGAAAAAGCTGAAATGAAAGACCCCCTTTTGTCCTTCAAATGATGAGTGAGCTGTAAACAACAGGTCTTGGAATCCCAACCATCGTAACCAGAAATAAAAAAGGAAACACCCTCTTTAAAGTGAGAGCGGAGAGGACTAAGCTGCACACATGTACATCCACATTTGCATCAAAAGTGTGAGAAAACAGTTCTGAAGCGTTGCTACAATCTGCAAACAGGTCACTGCACTCATACAATGTTTGGACCAGGAATGCTCTTGAAATCAAAGCTTTCTCTCTCATGCTGCTGCTACAGAAATATCCATCAGACGTACCACTTGTTGCTGTTGAATACGTATCGTTGTAGCGGGGGAGGAGGTGAGACGTTTCTCCCACTGGTTGGGCTGAGGAGGAGAGGGAGGTGGCGCCTCCATAAAGGAGCGTTTGAGCTGGCTAATGCTAGCTTGGTGTTTCAGGACCTCGTCTTGGGTCTTATCATGGTCCTAAGGGGGAGGGGAAGGGAAGACAGGGTGGGTAAGGTAAAGGTGGAGAGTAAATGTGATAAGTATGGATAAAATGAGGGATCATGGGAGGCAGCAATAAAAAGAGGTCGGGTTGGATGTGGGGGAGTGGTCGGAAGGGGGAAAAGGGGGGGGGAGAGATGAATGAGAGGAAAGTAAAAGAAAATAAATAATTGAAATTTGGGGAAAAATGAGAATGCAGAGGAAGGATGACAGGATGAAGGCAGAAAAGAAAAAAAATGTGGGAAGAAAAATGAGGAAGCAATGGAAGGCAGTAGAGGGAAAGAGAGGAGAGGAAAAGGGGAGAGGGGAGGAGAGAGGAGAGAGGAGAGAGGAGGTGGGAAAATATTTGGTTCAACAGGGCACAGGAACATTAGTCTGTCAATCAGAAGGAAGACAAGATGGATGGCCATGTCTCACTCGAGCCTCACTTAAAGATCCTGAATCTTAAATGTATGATCTGGTGAAGTTGGTGGTATTTTTGTTTGTTTATAAGCAGGCTGCAGTGAAATAGGGCCTTTCCATCTTGTTGAGGAGTTTTCTCCATGAATCAGGCCAGGAACAGCAATGCAGACCACACAACATGGAGCTGATAGTGGTGACCTTTCTATTTCCCTTCCATCCGTCTTCTTCCCTTACACTCAGAAATAGCAATACATCACTATCAGTCCCACGCTGCATCAAAAGAAGTTGTTGTTGTTGTTGTTGTTTTAGTATGTTATCAAAACACGCATCACTCAAGGTCATCAGCCAACCACAAGGAAACAGGAAGAGAGCTTCTCTTGTGGGTTAGGGAGGCAGGGTTAGTGTGGTTAGAGGCAACCGCCCAACAATAATCAAACTTTGGGTTCAATCAAGGATTCGGAATACAACATGATAAACAAGTCAACAAAACGGCATTCAGCATGCACAGAACATGCATCAAACTCACATTCGCACACCCACCCGACTCACAACGCAGCCAACGTGATCACTCAGCATGGGAAATGACTAGAAGAGTGTCTTATTATCTGTTATACATGTGTTGCTAATCTTAGTTCACTGTGGAGCACTCGCTCAGAAAAAAAACAAATCAGAATTGTTCAGGGAGCACTGATTATATGCAAAACCTTCAGTTAATAACCCGGATCAATCAAACAGTTGCTCAAATTGTTGTTAATAGAATCACTGTTGATGAAATCATTTCTTAGAATAGCAGACTAAAAAAAGACTAAAAAAAGATAAGGCCTGTTGTTTTTTTTATCCGTCTGCATTTTTTTTGCTGGATGGTTTGCTTTCAATTTGTTCTTAAATGTAAGAAATAAGGCTTGTAAGAAGAGCGAGACTCAATCAAAAGAGTGACCTTAAACATTTCAGCAGCTTCAGCTCATTTTTTTGTTTAAGAGCTGATGGGTTTCTTCAGAAACTGCTTAAAATGATCTTAAGGTTTGTCACACAAGTTAAACTTCTTTTAATACATGTAGCATCTTAATCCTTTACAAAAAGCTGAAGTCAGTTCTGTTTTCTGTTTCATTTATAGAACGGCTTCGTTGTGTTTCCCAGCACAAATGTTCAAAACGGCTGCCCTGAGAGTTCGGATAAACAGAAACTGAAAACTTCTGACACGAAATCTTTTTCAGTCACACTGAGGATTCAAGCTGGAAACAACTGGCGACTTGAAATCCAAACATCCACAAACAGAGACACACGCGGGCATGCGAACAGAGCCTGAGAGTGCGAGAGGGCAGCAGTCTTGTACAGTTCAGAGGAAGTTGTAGTTCTGATGGCGTCAGAGTACACAGAAAACATGTAGTTCTTTTGTTTCAGCCATCAGGCGAACGCCAGTACCAACCTCCAACATTAAATTACTGTGCCTCACATAAATATTGTCCCCATGCACTCTCATTGGACTCTGTAAGGCAGACATGAAGGGCAAAAAAAAATGAGAAGGAGAAAATTAATTCAAAACAAAAAAAAAACAAATACATTTACTTGGTTTTAACTCTGAAAATAAATAAATGAACTAATTGAAATTTACAAAAAAAAAACACAAGTAAATGAAAACATGAATACAAAAATATACAGAAGGAAAAAGTCTTGTGGTGAAGCCAAAATATCCAAAATTGTGAAGAAGATAAGTGAGTAAGCACCAAAACATTATAGTGTTTTCTGGTATTTTCATATTGAATGTAATGATGCTAGCACTCGAACCCGTGCTAACACATGCAAAACTCAGATTATTTAAAATATCAAAACACCAGCACATGCACACACAAACCAAGAAACCCCAAAGTGCTTTCAGTGAATCCCAACAGTACTGAACGACGGATATGAACCAGTAAAGAAACTGAAACTGTGAAACCACAAACCACAGCAGAGGAAACTGAAAGGGACGGTTTTAGGCAAAAGTGCCCAAATCAGGATCAGTTTTTGAATTCAGGCCCGATCTGAAAACAAAGGGTGTAAATAGTAATCATAACTACTCAATATGAACGTTTTCAATGAAAATGTTTCGGTTTGGACAAATTTGGTCTGTAGAAGCTGTCAAATTCAAACACTGACTCTGAACCAGCATGCCAGGGCAACTTCACCATAAGAGAGAAACCAAAACAACAATCCAACCAAAGCAAATGATTGACAGACCAAACACCATCAAATAACCAATAACAGTTAGTGAACCTGAGAGGGGGCGAGCTCACTGGCTCCAGGTGACTGCTGAAGTGGTAAAGTCGGGGAGAAAGTAAGGACAGGTTAGGTTTACTGCATGTACCCTGTTGCTAAACCATTTAAACATCCAGAATTTGCAAAGCATGCTGGGTAGATGCAGGCCCTACAGACCTTGGTGGGAGTTGCATCTGCATCACCAGGGCTTAAGTCGACCTCCTTGACCTTCAGTGTCGTAGTTGTGGCAACAGCAGTCATGATAAATGTGGAGGTTGGGGGGGGGGGGCACGAAGAAAGAAAAATGTGAAATGGATGATGGGAAAAGTTTGTTTCTTCCCCAGGTGTCAAGGAGACGTACTGCAGGTCATGTGACCTCTGCACTTAAACCCACAGGAGCAGTAACATGAAAGGAGTCTGACAGGAGACAGGAGACAGCTGGTGCTACTGACCGCCCTCATCCTACGTTCAGGAAAGAGTAAGTCTGTGTCAAAGTAAACGACTATCAGATGTGATGTGTTTCCTAAACAGTCTTTTGAGGTACAACGTTCATTTCTTCAAACACTGCTCTACTGCTGAGGAGGCTACATGAAGTGTCCCAAACCAGATTTACAAGGGGAATGCTACAACTACTATAGCTTTCTTAAAAAGGAGTAAAAAAAACACTCATGTAGCTTACACTTTTAAAGACTTGTAGTTATTAACTCTGACAATTGTCAGGATATGTCAGTATTCTTTCTGACCTGTCTCTCGATAACTTATCTGTTATCATTCTGTAAATGCACAGCATTAAAGCAAGAGCAACGCTAAATAGCCACTGCAACACTTCATAGTTTAAGGGAAAACACAGCACACACAGGGCAGGGGGAGATACGGTCTCAGTGTATGTGTAACACTGTTTATGCTCAACATTCATTAGCAGTAACATACAAACCAAAGCGCTTTAAGTGCTGACAGGGCGGGCGGGGTCGCTATCTATCTGTACAGTTTAAACATTGAAGCTAGGACTATTCTGTTACCTCCATCTTTTCACCACACTAACAAGGCAAAATGCAGCAACTGAGTGCTGGTTTACTGCATTAAATGCAACAAGTGCTTCAGTACCTCGCAAATTACACATTCATAATCATAATGTCCTTTCTTTATGCATGTTTTACATGCAATGGAAAAGCCTTTAAAGCAACATCTGGGCCTACTCATTTTAAAGACTTCAAATCCACAAAAACTCACAGGAGCTTTAGACGACCCCTGTGGATAAAGCGGAACAATTTATTTCTTGGCTGATCTCGCCCTTCACATGTCTGGAGGGGTTTTTTCGTCAAAAATCTTAATTTTAACGTAAATGTCTAAATTCAATCTTCAACACGCAATTTAGACATTTATGTTTCAGACGTCTCCGACGCCTACCAAACGTCAGGGGTGACAGTCCTAAGAATCACTGTAATCAATCTTCGCTCTGATGGTCTTGTTTGCTCATCAGTGTCAATTTCAATCGGTTTTATTGCCATCTAAAAAAAAAAAACTTCTCTCAGGAGCCTTCAAGTCAAAACGATGAGTGTGTGCTCTGAAAATCACTACATTTGAGAGTTTTGCCACTCTTTCCTTCCCTTACAGTCCATGTACAGTATTTAAATCTCTTAATATACCTACAGTATCTCTATATAAGCTATATTATGATATTTGCTCTTTTTATTATTATTCATCCTGTATAAACTCTCTGATATACATTTGCCAGATGTAACTCATTCTAATCTTTTTTATTTGTCACAAACATTACAGTGGGGTTGGCAGGGTGCAGGGATGGTAGGAAACAAGGAAATACTAGGTAGTGAAGAGGGGTGGACTTCGGGTGTGGCCAGCTTGTACAATCAAACACAAAGGCGGACAGAAGGAGGGAGTTTCGGACTGTTGGGTTGTGTGGGTTGTGTATTTAGGCAGCAGGATCGCACATCTCCTGCGTCCAGGTCGCACTTGTGGGGTGCCTGCTGCGCGGAGGTGTGTGCGCCGGAGTGAGAGGAGAAGCTAGCTTGTTGAAACCAGAGCTGAACTGATCCTCGCACTGACCGCTTGAAGTTTCAGACGCAAACATCGGCAAAAATGCCTTCCGCTGACTGGACACTACATTCTCGAGGTAACACAGGGTCAGGCCGAGGGGCGTGGCTAAAATCAGCGCCAAGATTAATGACTGGCTTGCCGTTAGCATCACAACCAAGAGGAAGGTGACTAACAGGCAGGGTAGGAAGAGTGGGAAGGGGTTTAGGAGGTAGCGATGCATTGATGCGGTTAGGTTGGAGAAGGAGGAGAGAGTGGGGAGAGAGGAGGAAGATGGGAAAGAGAGGAAACAAGTGGACAGAGACGAAAAGGAAGAGACGATTGGAGGACAGGAAAGAGAAGAAATGGAGGGCAAATGTAGTCGTGCTGGGCGCCAACGAACAGCAGGAACAAAACTTTTGCATGTCGCTGGAAGATATTTGGTAATAAATCCCATAAAATTTGTCAGTTTTGATGCCAAACTGTTCAGAGTTTGACCCAACCTAGATGTCGTCATGTTGCAAATAATGAATTTTGGAGCATTGACGATCATCAGCTTTAATTTCCCTGCTGAATTTGAAATAAGCGTCGACACAGTCCGAGTAAAACAGTTCAGTTTCTTTGTTATTCCTGAAAAAACCTTGGTGGGCAGACACCTGTTTCCAGTCTTCCCAGAAAGGGAGAGAAAAATCAACATGAAGGACACATATTTCCCCACACCCCTCCACCTGTTTGATAACCCAGCTGCGGCTCTGGTTTCAGCAAGGCAGCCCTCCTCTACAACTGTAACCTCTGAACTTGATGTTTGGAAGTTTGGGATTGGGGGGGTTTCGCGATCGGCCTGCAGCTGATCAGAGAGGGAAGAGGGGGTGTTTGAGGGGAGGTTCCAAGGAGTGTGTGAGGTGGTTGTGTCATTGCAGAGGTCATCATCTTCAGAGATGTCTGACAGGCCGTGGTCGAGCTCGGAGATTGAATCGAGGGAAGGAGGGATGGAGGAGAGTGAGGATGATGAGGAGAAGGACAGAGGGAACATGAAGATTGACTGATGGGGGTCAGATAAGCAAGGGAGAAGGAATATCAGACATGTGGGGGAAGAAAGGAGAGAAAGACATGACGACACAGAAGAAAAAAAACAAAAAAAGGGACATCGAGAGTTTTGTGGGAAAAGTGAGGAAACCCGCACACACACATCCACAAAGTGTAAAAGCAAACAGTGACCCAACAAAGAAAAAAAAAATCCACAAAAACAACGGCGCAATGTTCAGTAGAAAGTATCATTTCATTCGTCATTATGAAATGATGATCGTGGTGACAGCATGCAAGAGTGGAGTGATTAAAGCAATTAACAAAAAGGGAGCCAGTGAAGGAAAAGAGAGAGAGGGAAAGAGACACACCATTAGTCAGTGAACATCACAACAAAAACAGGTTAAAAGTGAACACGGCAGGGTTTGAGCTCAGTGCAGTGAACATCTGTGTGCAGAAAAAGTTTCAACATTGAACAAAGGCTTAAAGCAGAGGTCATTGTCACGGTGCTGGGAAGTGAGCAGGGGAGGGGGGGGGTCAGGGAGAAAGAAGGGAAAGTAAGGTGAGGCAGGAGGAGCAGGAGGCATGCGTAATAGACAGATATACACTAAATGCTGACTTATTAGAGGTTTGAAATTCAAACAATAAATCCAGTCTAGACTCTCGACTCTACTAGTACGACAGCAGAGGAAATGTTTCTTCAGTAACCTACATGCTGCTCTTTTGAATAGCAGTGGCACTCATGTAAAGTGTTAGATACCCTAGAGATGTTTCTATACATTACTGATGTTAACACCCTTTGTTAAAATAACTATTTTAAAGTCACTGCAACCAGGACTGTTGCCATCTTCCTTCATTGCTCTTCACAACAATTTCTCTTTCATAGCCAAACATGCTGCAGACTAAGCTTTGATTGCTTGCTTTCACTTGTATCACTATTTAATAGTTTCATCAGAATAAAGCTACATTTTCCTTTGACTGTCCTGATCTATGCGTAAAGGTACACAGTGCAGACATTCCTGTAAGACAATGTAATACTGGTTATAGCTGTATATTTACCATCCCTGAATAAACGCACGTTGTTAAAGATGTTTTCATGAATAAAATGTTTCACACACTGAATTCAAAATTAAGCTAAGAGACCCTTGTTTACAAACTAAGGTGGGCTAGTGTGATTTTTTCCATCACCCATGTGCACAATGTCTTCCTTTTTGAACCACTAACACATACAGATACAGATTCCCAGCAAATATTACGACAACAACAAAGAAACAAAATACTACTTTGTTCCTTCTGAACTCACACACAAATGTATATGCTTGGATGAAAACACAACAAACACACACACACACACACACACACACACACACCTTAGAGTCAGAGTGGAGCTCCAGGTGGGGATCACGTCCGTTCTCAGTCGTGTCCCTGCCCGCCTCAGTTATGCTGATAACTGGTGCTACAAAAGGACAAATACACATGTGAAAAAATAAATCAATTAAAGATTATTTATCAGAACAGAAAAAAACAGTATGATACTTTCACTTACAGACCCTGTAAGTACTTGTTAAAGTCAAGATCAGTGGTTTAGTTTTCCACAGGATAATCAATGTTTTTGTACAGACAGACTTGCAGTTGAATATTTTGTCCACCAGGGGGCAATTTAAGACAGCGGTAAAAATTGCTGCATAAGTTGGGATCCAAATGCGAAATCCAAAAGCTACAAGTAATGATGTTAAAGAGACAATAAAAGATGTATTTGATTTAGAAAAGTCTCATTGTAACATAAACATGAAGGAGATATTAGGTGAAGGCAGTTTTACATGAGTACGGCTCTCATTTCTGAATTATGTGCTGCTCATAGCTGAAAAAAGATCATTAGTTGACTTTTTTTTTTGTTCCCAGCTATGAATGCTTTGTGCCACTGGTATTGTGTGGCCCTTTTTTCCCCCCCTCTTTCTGATCGACATACTACTTTATTTTCTCTTCTTCTCTTTCTCGCTCTGTCGCTCACTGTGTGACAGGAAACATATGCTGCACCTATTTCCTGTATCTGCTCAGACACTAGCTTTGTTCATCAAAACACACAGACACAGGGGCATCCATGACCCCTGTTCCATCTGCCCATCATTCCCCCCCCCCCGTTCCTCTCCTTATCTGTCTATCCATTCATGTAATAGTCTTTAGGGGGACAAAAGGAAGGCTGGAGAAATCATCTGTGTGGTGTTTGTGCATTCAGTACCTCCATCCAGACTGCGGCTGATGCGTTTAGATGAGGTGCGTTCAAAGTTGGGCGAAGGTCGGTCTATGAGGGAGCTGGCTACGCGGGTCTGAGCTTGGGTTCGCCCACTGTAACGGAACTTGGAGCCAAGGGTCAAGAAGCGGGCCTTTGTGGGAGGTTCCGGTGAATTTAACCTGGAGAGAGAGGGAATATGGGAAAGACATATTGGGGATTTACTCGGTAAAAAAAATGCAACAGTCACTACTGCATGTGCATGTGCAAGAGAGGTACCTATTCACTCTACAGGATATTAAAGCTTATTCCTTTCTTGTCTTACAGAAACACACAGACAGAAAAACAATCAGTTACAGCACAAACTCCTGGGGACTACAAACACAGCCACGATGCCGTGTGTGTGTGTGTGTGTGTGTGTGTGTGTGTGTGTGTGTGTGTTGCTGCAGGTACCAGACTGGTTAAACAAGCACACAAGATTCTCTCAGCAAGTTCAGCAAAGAGAGCCAGTGTTTTGTTGAGCACATGTCTCTGTAGAACGATGACTTGACACTGAAAATCTGTGAGATCCATGTGCATACACGGTGCATGTTTGATTTGAAGTGTGTGTAAGAGTGTGCATTTCTACCTGAAGAAACTGTGATTCTCCACGCAGACTTTCCACAGCCTTTTTGCAGATCGATGGTTCTGGAGCTTGAATCCCACCGTGCTCTCAAACTGCTCCGTCTATGAAAGGAACATAAACAAAGCATTTATTTCACAGTTTTCCACAGCAGAGGAAGCTAATAGAAATATGTACAGCATGTTATGTGTACCCTTTGATGTATCATAAAGGAATAAATCTCAGAATTTATAACCTGTTTGTACATGTTTTGCACGTGTTCGTTGATTTACCTCTCCTGGTCTGATCTTGATGTAGAAGTTGTTCCTCTTGTATGAAATCTTGAGTATTTTGGGCCAAGCAAAGCGATTTATCCGGAGTCTGTCTTTGTAAACCAGGAGGCCGTTGGCACACACACCTAGCATGATGTCCACACCCTCAGAATCCTGTGAATTCACATGTTAATAAAACACAAATACACCTTTTGGACAAATCTTCATAATGCTTCCTGTTTGTATAAATCGGATCATACTGTACATCAATTGATTTCTAAAGTAGCCTACTAAAGGTCAACAGAAACTCAATTAACACACACACACACACACACACACACACACACACACACACACACACACACACACACACACACACACACACACACACACACACACACACACACACACACACACACACACACACACACACACACACACACACACACACACACACACACACACAAACTGTAACAACATGGTTAGCAGACAGACTAACTCGCTAACAAAGCTTTTAAGTCCAAGGCCATCTGGTAATGGTGAGGGGGGGTTATTGATTACGATGGTCAATTAACAGGAAAAATCTGTTGGCCTAATGGAGAATGCAATGTATTGATAATGGACAGTTTTACTGAGACACACAAACACATCACATGGTGTTGCCATGTTATCAGCTGCTCATTGATCCATGTGCTCCCAGCAAGGATACATTTAGCACTTAAGCTTCGACACACTGACTGAACAGGAGAAGCAGGAAAGCAGTTTTCCATTAGCTTTTTGTGGTTTCTGTTAGAAGATCATTCTTCTCCTCCTCCTTTAGTGGAGGAAGAGAGATGGGAGAGATACGCCAAATATTATGAACAGAATATAAGCTGGCAACAGACTTTGTTATAACAACTGGCAGTCTGACATCACTGGTTTACACTTTCAGTGTAGTCAATGACTTTCATATTTCAGTCTTGCTATTTTCTTTATTAATAAGTCTGCTGCCTGTGTCTAATTCTGTCGCGTTTGCTGTCAAAGATTGTGTCTCAAATTCGACATTGAGCCGACTGAATCAAACAATGGACTATCAGTTCACACCCAAACACTTTGTTCCTTCTGCAGAACTGTCCGAGCATAGAGGATGTATACTTAACAAGTTTCTAATGGATTACTTTGCAACAAATACAATTACTGTATTTTTAGCTGCTAATGCCCGTTTCATTCCCCTAAATACAACCTCTTTTAAGTTTAAATTTTGTATTACATTATTTTATTAAGAGCTCCTTGTCTCCTCATTCATTGGAAATATACCCTCTTTACACACCTTCTGTCAGCTCTTGTGCCTTGCATTATTTGGTGAGTTCTCATTTTTTTAAGGTTACTAATTCAAAACTATTCACATGTTATGTAGCGTCTGCCACAGTGATAATTGGATTTCCCTTACAAAAGGGTCAATAAAGTCCAAACAGCAGCATATCAGTGGGTTTTGTAATGTTTTGTTTGTATCTTTACGGCTTTGCTGTTAATAAAACTCTGAGGTGGATGGATTTTTCCCTGTAGTGTCATTGTCAATAATAAAACCACGACAAAGGTCTATAAACACAATCATCCTGCTATCAAACACTCATGAACCCATACACTATGCTCTGGGATATATTTTTAGCCACTAGGAGAACACATGTTTGTGTTTATTGAATATCATTATATGGGTTTGTTTTTCAAATGTTTCCTTATTGGGAATGAAAGTCGCAGGTTAAACAAGACAGAAATAGATCTGCCCCTTGAATTCCCACAACATTGGTATGCCATAAAAAAAGACTTCCAACATTTGAAATCGCTCTCTCTGCGGTTCTCTTTTCCCCTGGTTCTCTTTCTGTGTTACAAACAAGTGGAGCGTGCTCTTAAAGGAGAGTCTCGTCTCTCCCTCTTTTAAGGGTCTGTCCTTGTTTTCTCTAACCTTATCTCTCGCCGTCCATCTTAGTCTGCTGAATATCCTCAATATAACATCCTCTCTTTCTATTTTCAGACTATTCCCTCTCTTCCTCTCTCTCTCTCTCTCTCTCTCCCCCCTTTTTGTTTGCCGTCTTGCACAGAGACACACAAATGTACTCAGACAAACATGGAAACAGGCACGCACTCTGCTGATGACCTGCGATCCCAGTGAGATAGACAGGGAGGCCATTGCCATGGGAACAGCCAGAGTGTTTGTACAGCTGACACACTCACACAGAAAAACATGCAGATACACACTCTTCCCACATCAAAGAAACTGTACTAATCCCCAGATGCTAACAACAAAAGAAAAGAGCGAGGCAGAGAGCAGAGGGTTCATTCATTTATCGTACCTTAGCCTGGTGCAGGTCCACCCCGTACATGGACAGTTTCTTAGCATTTTCTAGAAACTGGGTGTCGGCCAGTGCTGGTGTCATCCCCCTAAAAACAGGGCACAAGTGAATCACTACAAACACACTCAATCTAGACAGCATAGATTTTTGTCATTATCGGATTGGAGATATATGAGAAAAAAATTGGGATTTAAACTTTGGCAAACAAATGTACAGCTTTTAATGACAAGGGTAAAAAAAAAAAAAAAAGATGTTCTTACCTGTGAGACTTGTGAAGTTCAAGAATCTTCTCCTCCATCTCTTTGTTCTGATTGGGCGCAAAGGTCCGCTGGTTGATGTAGTCCAGAGGTCGAGGCTGGTCGGGTTCGTAGTCACCAAATTCTGCCTGTAAACCAGAAGGAAACAGACTATTTATATAAACTGCAACCAAAACAAAAGACAGAAAAGAAGGCAGAGCCACATTAGGAAACAAAAAACTTTCGATCTATACATAGAGGATGTCCACAAGTTTCGTTTTTTTTTTCTACCCTGCAGCGTGTAAGAGCCGAGCAGAGCATGGGTGACAAATGAGCACGGCAGCCGACCTGTGGCCACGTCTTCACGCAGCTGCAGACACAACAGGTACCTGCAGGAGAGAGAAACGGTTAGTGTGGTGGATTAAGTAGGAAGTCACAAAACTAATTCTAATCCCCTTCTTTGAACTTGAGGCTGCTTCTTTGTTCATGATAACAGACGTCTTCGCCTCCTGTGAGGCCTGGGGTCAGCTCGTGAGGATTAGATTTGATGGTTGGTTGTGTTTTTACAGAACAATTTTCATAGTATGGCGCCACATTGGTTTGGTTGGAGCACCATGACAAACAAATACTCAATGCATAATGTGTGCATCAGCAGTAAGTGAATCATGCAGTGGTTGTTTTATTTTAGATGGAGTAAGCTCTGTAGGACAACCTTCATGTGAATGAAGCTTCTGTGTGAATAATGAACTCCGACACCTCAGGGTGCTAGTAAATGCATCATTTGGCTATTAAAAAAGGTCATTCAGAGTTACATCAGTGAGACGAACACTTTCTGACATGGAGGCTTGAACTCCAGTCATCCAGTTAGGAGGCTTCGATTCATTGGGAAAATATAATATCGTGTTGTAGCTTGTTAAAATGGGAAATGATAGAATGAAAATATTGTTTAAAAAAAAGGTTTCACTTTACATTTATGAATAAATAAACATTCTGGTACAGGCTGTGGAAACTCTGCAAAAAAAAAAACATCCATAAAATTGTCTCTGTCTTTCTGTCTGTTGTTAAATTTAAAGAAATCAGAGTTACACATGTTTTGGTTGGAGGGGAATTTTGAGTCACTGTAGACATTCAGTGCAGGTAATGTGTTGGCACCGCTCTAATTTGTTGTGTTAGTAAGTATGTGTCCTCAATTAGCCTTTTGCTACAACCATCAGAGAAGCTATACGCTCCATTAGACATACACTCCGACCTAAATGCTTTGTGCTTGGAGCATGTGTGTGCACATGCATATGTTCAAATGAATTAACTGTTTACAATGCAGCATTTTTGCCATTTTCTTGAGGGTTAAGGCTTCTGGCTTGTTATTGTTTTGGTTTTAGAACACACAACCTTGCATAGAGTTGGTGAACCAGTTGTGACATTTAGCAGCTCAAGAATCATTTTAAATTCACAAACAAGAGCTCAAAGAAAAAGTCAATATTGAACTTGTGTTCAACAAAACTAGAACCGCAACGTAACAGGAAACTGTTAACATGTTCACTATGAAGAAGAGCTGATCATTTGTACAAGTTGTAAAGTGTTCAATTGGTCCTGTTACCTTGAATAACTGTTAATTAATCAGTACAGTTTGTTTTTTTTAAACCTTTGTTTGAAGTGGTAATATCTGTAATATGCATGTGCGATTACATTGTCCAATAGTGACAATATGAAGTGCAATCAAATAAATATCAGATGAATAGAGTGCAAACAGCCACCACTCGGTTTCGATGTATATCTGCAGTTCTAATGTGTTTTTTATTTACAACTTCAGAGCAGACAAAGCCTTACGCCCTCCCTGAGATCATTGGCCTGGACCTCACCTAACCCTAACTCTAACCCTAACCCTGAACCTCAGGTTGGGAGCCAATGTTTTACACAACACCTGGGTTTGTAACATTTTCCTCCAGATCACAAAAAAAAAAAAAACCTCCAAAACAGGTTTTTCACCACTAAATGGGCACCAATTGAAAAAAGGGTAGCTGATGGATAGCTTGAACTTGATCTGACTACAGCTTTGTGGTGTAAAAGCATTGTCATTGTACTCTGGCCTCTATTCACTGCTCAGAGAGAAAGCATTGCTCACTTACGTTAAATGATTGTTTTTATTTATGTCAATAAATCTAGACTTTTTACTGAAAATGCTGACGTTTAAATTGTGATTTATTGTACAGCCCTGGAGTGATTTGATGTTTTAATTTGTATGTGTGTGCGTGTGTGTGTGTGTGTGTGTGTGTGTGTGTGTGTGTGTACCTGGTGATGTCTTCAGTGAGCAGGGAGGGGTCAGGAGGGTAGAACTTGACGTTGAATGCAAACTGCCAATTGTTACCTGGAGAAAGAGAATGATCTACTTAATAACAACACAAACTATATTTATGAGATGACTTTGGAAATATGATTGTCAAAAAAAAGTCATCAAATTCTTTTTTTTTGAATCATCACAGTTATAATGACGGTTACCAGTACATTTTAATGTCACTCCAGCCCTTGGCCTGTTTCATCTAGCTGTCAGAATGCAGAACAGCTTTTCAACTGTGCTAAGCTGGGTGCATAACGTGCACACACAAACACACACACAAACACACACACACACAACAGATCTGCTATTGCATGACGTTATTCCATCTTTACCAAGTGCCAAACTATCATCTGCATCATTACCGGCAACAAATACGCCATGTTATCTTTATCACTGTGTCACAACATGAAAATGGTTTCCATTTAGACCATTCCCATTTCTCTTATCTTTATTGGGCTCCGATTTCCTGATGTCACTCCCTCAGGAGGAAGCCATATTGCCCTGCCTGCCACATTTTTTCTCCTTCACTTTCCCTCTGTCTCTTTGCTCCATCTTTGGACGCATGCACACACACACACACACACACACACACACACACACACACACACGCACAGATGCTCAATAAAAAGACGCAGATCATCATCGTCTGGAAAAATCCAAACAGGAAACGCTGACATCATATCGAGACCATTTCCTCCTCCCAAGGTCATACACACATCCACATAGGCACACACGTGCAGAAACAGAGCTGTTACAGCTGCATCCCGGAGGAGCAGGACGAAATGATGGTCACTGTAAAATGACACAAGGAACAAGGACACTCACAGAGCAACCAAGAGAGGAAAAGATGCAACACATGAGGTGTCACATAACGTATAGAAATGGAAAATCACGAGGGCTTATAATACTGTTTCCTTGCCTGTGTGTGTCTGTTGGTAGATCATGGGTGTGTGTTGCTGAGTCTGGTGGTTGAGATTTTTTGCCAGCAGCACTAAGTGCTTTGGCTCTCTTGTGACCATTTCAACCTTCTAGATGACCACGTGTCACATATAAATCTGCTCCATGATGCACAGAACATACACACACTGATAGATATAAACATCCCTTCCCTTACCCCCCTATGTTCACTACACTACTTCTTCTTCTTTAATCACCCTCTGTCTTCACCTCCCTCCCTTCTTCTTCTCCCTTTTCGGATTGACATATTCCCTCACCTAATCATTTTCTTTTTAGTATTTTTTTTTAAACCCGTGTTTCAGTAAATGGATGACTTGGGAGTATGAGAGACTTTGACCATAAATCATAAAACATACTCAAACTAATGAGCCTGTTATTTAAACATACCCAGCAGCTGTTTGTTCTCACCGTGGCTGCACATGTCCTTGGACATCTCACTGAAGTTATCGTCCCCGGTGAGACACACAGGGCAAATATAAAGGTTTGTGTGATTATGCAGGGAACATGTGTGCTGCGGTTAAACATTAACTGAAGCCACACGCTCTGCAGAGGTCTACACACTGGACACAATCCAGACTCTTCATCGTCAAAGCTCGGCTTCCACTGGCTTTCAGCCTGAACACATTTTCTTCTTATTACTTAGTTCTAACGGTGAGATCTAAGAAAGAGCACACTTGCAGAATGATTACTTTCAGTGGTGCTTACTTTGTTCTCAAAGGTTGATAATTATTATTTTTTTTTTTTCACTGCAACGTTTTTCTGTAAAAATGTGATTTTCATTGGCTAAGACAACAGATAATTCAGCTATTAAGAGCAACTTTTCGTCTTCCTCTTTGTCACCTTTTTTCAAAAGTGATCTAATCGCATTTTCCCAACTTTCTATCTACCTACATTGATTTTTAGTTCGAGCATCTCATCCCAGAGAGCAGACACCATTTCAAAGTGCAATTGTGGGAGCATTGGAGGAGTCTCTCCAGATGTGAGAACGCAGATGAAAACTCCATTGTGCCCATACCTCTTACCAACAACACACTGCACAACAAACAACATGTTGCCCATCATTTGTATAAAAAAAAACATTTCTCCTTTTCTTTGGTTTCTTTCTTTGCCCACGTCCAGAAAGACATCATATTACAGGCAATGTTTGCAACAAGTGTTTTAATCACAGGTGATCTAGCAGGCTTTCAAGGCACCACAAGACCCCAAAAGACTTTCAATGACAAGTGTTCAAGTTCCTGCCCTGTATGTAGTGACGCAGAGCTGTGACGGTCGAGCGAACACTGATGGTCGTAAAAGCGCACACTGGTGTCTAACCTGTCATTTGTGCTGTAATCTGTCTGCACACACACAGAGACAGAAGTATTCAACACACTTACTATAAACATACACACACACAAACAGAAAATGGACACAAATGAGCACACGCGGTCGACTGCATGCAACCCATTTATGAACGGCCGACACACACAGCCGCACAGCCACAAAACACAGGCATGCATGTTCACCACACACTGAGCCACACACAGTCTGCACACACCCAGCCAGCATTACTTATCTCACATATGCTAATTCCCCCAAAAAACATTTTATGGGCTGAAATGACATGTTTTCCTCAGCCTTTTTCTTTAAAGTGCAACTTTAATCTTAATGGCATATGTTTAAGTCTGTTTTTGAACGTGAAAAGAGGAATGGTGAGAAGAGAAGCTTCTCTTGAGGAAAACACAGCTAAATGGAATCTGCATATTTTTCAAAAAACCTCTTAACCTCTAAACCTCTTATAAACCTTTCTAACTCAGAAAACTGGAACTTCTGATTGAATTAAACGTAAATCTGAGAAATAGCAACTCTACTCCTCTTTGTTGTTGTTTCTGTCCTGTTTGTCGTAATCATGATAAATGCAGGATCCCCATTTGACCTGTTACAGTCTGTTCATTCATTCCACAAATTAAATACTACGCTTGGTTGCTCCACACACCTGATAGCTGTCTATCAACAGCAGATGGGAGACAGAGCCTTGCCCTGCATTTATACTTTCACAACAGTTAATAAAGAGATCCAGAAATAATTGAGCAAAGTGATCACACTGTGGTAACCTCTTGCATGCTGCCAGCTCTGGTAAGACTGCTGTCGGTTGTGCGGTTTTAAATGTCTCTGTGGCTTTGTTGGACATAAGCGTGAAGCTGCTTTTGTTTCCCTTTAATATAAGTCACTTGAACTCCTTCCTTAATTCAAGAGTCATGTTTTATTCATTGTGTTTTGGCTGAGAAAACTAGGTCCCGTGCATTGCGTGACACCTCTTTTTGGGGCAGGCTGGTGGAGACAGAGATAGAGGAAGCTGGATAGACGAGGCCAATATTGATGGCACAGTAAGTTTATTTTTCTAAATTTTTCGAAATAAACTTACTGCATTTAAAAAAAAAATAAAAAACTTACTGCGTATTTGTCTCTTGATTTCCTTGGTGGGATCCAACCAGCACTGGAGTGAGACACAGAGCGTGAAGAGAGTTAACCTCAGTCATCAAACAGTGTAAGACACTATACAGACGTTTCTGTTGGAGTTTCTACTAATGTGTACATTACTGACATATAAAGCTTACAGCACATCCTGTGTATGTCTGAGTAACGATACATACCTTCTGCTCATGGCTGTCTGTGTATGACAGACCAAAGTAGTCTTTTTCCAGGAGGTTCAGATGCTCACACACCTTAAAGAAGAGGAACTGGCCCTTTGCACGTTTCTGCAGCGAGAGAGATTCAAACACAAACGTCAAAGATTAAAACATGGCTGACTTTTTGACAGGAAAACTATAGTCGGAAACTACTAAAATGTTTTCACTGATATGCTTGAGTGAGATATAATGTTCCAATTCAACCCTCTCCATTAATGCAATTCTGTTTGTTTGTGTATCATTTCCATCTGTTCCTTTATTCTGCAGCTTTTTTGTCACTCTCTCCATCTGTCTCTGGGCAACACATTCTTCCAATGGGCCCGATGGGAGACTTACCCATATAAGCCTCCACTCTCAACTATGACAATGACATTTAGCACACTCCCATGTATGCGTGCAAAGCTGTGCACGCACACAAACACACAACAGTGCCTTTTGGGCAGACAGAATGTCAGGCAGTGAGAGGGTGGAAATTGGGGGGGGGGGGGAGAGAAAGTATGAAATAATTAAATACTGTTCATTTTTATTTGGTAAATCAGCACGCCCTCTTTCTCATACTGGCTTGCACATAAAGACAAAAATTTGCGTTGCATAGCCCAGACAGAATCACAGACAGGGCAGGGAGCGTGGTGAAAGTGGAGGGAAAGAGGATGAAAGAATGCATTTTTCTTCTCGTAACGGGACAGCTGAAAGCATCCGTGGTATTTTCCTATACTTGGTAGAAAAGCAATGAGCCACATGCACGGCACTCACAGTGTAGACGCATTGTGAACACCCTGAAGAATTTGAGAATGTGACCTTTCTTGATTCTGAGTCTGTGCCAGTGTGCCTCCGAGCAAGACACAACCTCGGAAGCATTGTGTGATTGTCTGCAGGGTCCTTACTTTCCTGTACAGATCTATGTGTGTCTGTCACGCACTGTTACATGACGAATGGACAGATGGCTTTTAAAAGTTTCCCATTTTTCAGCATGTTTCACCAAGTTCCATGACTTTAAATCCACTCATAACCCACGAATTAAAATGCTATTAGTGCAAGATTCAAATGACTAGAGCCACAGACATACACTCATTAGGAAGTTTTAACCACATAATAATCATATTAAAGCTAGGAGAGATGAAGAGTTTGTTTGGATTCTTGAGGCAATAAATAAACCACTCTGAGTCAAATCCAAAGCAGCAGGCCTAAAGCCTGCCAATGCTACTTGACTCACTTCTGACTGAGAGCTAATGAAAAGCTTTGAAACGCCACTTAAAGCGTGTGACACTGAAATCCTGCTGAAACCTATACTAATGAATTCCTGAGAAACAGCATTGAGACCATGTGACACTAAGACTCTCCTTTGAGAAAAGGAGTTAAACAACATCTGAGAAACATTTCATTCAAACTACAGCTAATCAAATATACATTAAGTAGTAGTGCAACGGATCACAAGTGCCACGGTTCAGATCGGATAACGAATATTTGTAACTGATCGGAAAAATAATAATGAATACGTCACTTTTCTCCTCCTCCTCAGCTAGCCATGACTCAAACTTTTAACTGCACCTTGAATCAAAATGCAACTCCACGAATCTTTAGAATGTATCACATCCTCAACTTTCTTCACTATACGCTATACTCATTTCACGATTCCAATGATAATAAACAAGCATTTAGATAACCTGAACTCTCCTTTTTATTCAGAATTTTTTTTTAGTGATCTAAAAAGGTGCATCATTTCAGTTTAACCTTACTAACGAAAAATACAAATCTCTCTGGAAACAATTTTGCTATAACAATGTTTAAACATGTAACATACACACTGTTCCTGTCCATGCACAGGCTGTACCCGCAGCGCGTGTTGTTCGTCAGACAAAACAACAGAGAATGTGCTTCTTGGTACTATGTCCTGCACAGGGATTTAGCCGTAGTACATGTATTTGACACCATGTTGATTAATTTTCCATCGATCTGCGGAATACATGCGACCTGAACCCTTGGTTGATCCAAACAGATCCCAGATCGACTCTGATCTATTGCACCCCTAGCATTAAGTTATTGCACTGGAATAAATCTGATGCTGGTGCTTCGGGAATAGGATGGTGGGATGATAAAATATGGACGTACGTGTTTGTGTGAGGCCTGCTGTGCAAAACAGAAAATTTAATCTCAGGAATGCATTGTGCATCTCTCCCTCTCACGGCCTAACTGTTCCAGTTTGCGGAGGGAGGAATAGATAGATATGCGAGTGTGTGTGTGTGTGTGTGTGTGTGTGTGTGTGTGTGTGTGTGTGTGTGTGTGTGTGTGCGCGTGTGTACTTTAGGACAATAGCAGTTAGTTGCAGTATCGGCGTTTTTTTCCAGGAGACAAAGCAACTACTATTCAAACAGCCTCAGACACTCACAGGCACGCTGTTGGGCGTTGGAAATACTGCAGATAAGAGAAAAAAAAAGATTTGTCATGAGGTCTATCTCCCGAATGAAATCCCAGAACGAAATGGGAAGGAAAATATTGTAGTGGGAAAAAAATAATGAAATAAGAAGTCAGGTTCGAACTGTTTCAGTGGGACCTACAGAGATGCTACTCCGGAAAGATTCCTACTAAATTTGAATGAGTGAGGGAATGAGAGGGGGCCAAGAAAAACGCATGCAGCTTGAAAAACGCAATCTTCAAACCATGAGCTGTGGTTAAAATGAGGAAAAACTAAGAAATCATGGACACTTCCACAATGAGAAAAAGTCTAAAAGTTGCATAAAAACACTTGACGTTGTGGGTATCTGCATGAGTCTGTGTGAGTGTGTGAAAGGGGTCTGGGGCACGTGCCTGTTTGGGAGTAGCAGATGCAGGAAGCTAATCTGGTGGGGGGGACCCCCCGTAATCTGCTGGGTTTCTGTTTGTGCCTGTGTGTCTGTGTTGTAGTCACCAGACAAGCCCCTGCAGCATGCTCTGCATTTATCCCATAAACCACGCCCACAAATATGTGAGCGCCTGCAGTTTCTGCCATAACTGCACTATGATTGAGAACGTTAACCCCCCCCCCCTTAAGACACACAAATGCACACCATCACTGACATAGACATACACACTGCAAATATGATCCTATTAGAAATGACATCACTGACAAACTAGAATTCACATGTGTCCTCTTTGACAAAGGAATGAACAGAGGAGAAACAGTGTGTCCTTAAGATGCAAGTTGACATTTGTTTTTGTTTGTTTTTTTGCTTGTCAAAGTCTCACCTCCACTTCACAAGAGAAGTCAGTCCCGTCTAGGAGGTTCACGTGGCACACCACCAGCTTCATCTTGGTCTTCCTCACCAGTCGAAGAGGAGACTGGAAAATGGAGGTCTGGCCTTCTCCTCCTTCTCCTCTCTCCTCCTCACCGTTCACCTCTCCTTCCTGCTCCTTCTTTTGCTCCTCTGCTTCTTCTCCCTCTGCTGCCTCCTTGGTCTCTTCAGGACTTTTCTCAGTGTTCTCTTCCACCGTCTCTTCCTTGGCAGGCTGATGGAGTTTGGTGGGGGGGGGGGGAAGAAAAAAAAGAAGAAAAATGATGTTTTACAGCTGTTACATGCAGGGTTGCAAACTGTAGCTGTCATGTAAAAGCTCCATATGTTCTCTAAAATGTCCTCACTTGTTCAGTAGAAAACAAAATAACCTACTCCTCACTGTTTGTCCAAACTAACTAAGAGCGAAATCTGTTTTCTTTCTAACTCTTTATTTCTCCTCCCTCTGGTCTGAATCTGCTCTTAGAAGCTGCAGGCGTTTCTTTTGGCCTGATCACTGAAATGTTGATGTCACTGGGTGGGCCTGGGTGGCTTAATGTGATCACTGAATAGAGAAGTTTGTGTGTGTATAAGCATGTGTATGGAGTAAAATGCCTTAGTCTCTCTATCGCTCTCTCTCTCTCTCTCTCTCTCTCTCTTGGCTGAAACAAATGAAACAACTCTTTTAAAGCAAAGTACTTTTTACCACCTTACTTTTGGGGGACAGGTTTGGTGGTTGTTTCACCTCTGTGATAACTAACTCATTTGCAGCAGGGTGTAAGACTCATGCTGACATGACGTGCAGAAAAATGGCCTCGCAATTCTCAGTGTCGGTCCGATTGCAATGAGGATGCCATGGAGAAACAAACTAAATTTGTAAATGTGTGAGCTTTACAAGTTATCTCAGGTGGATTTTGTTACATCCGGAAAGAAATAGGTAATTCTAGCTTATTTTATGCTAAGCTGAGCAATGCTATGACAGAGTGTTGTCGCTCAATTTTATCATCCAACTCGCAAAAAGAACTTGCATAAAAAGTAAATCATAATAAAAACCTGTTTCACTTCTTATTTCTGTATATCAGTATAGTATCTGTATATCGGTTTTCAGCAGAAAAGTCCTTTGGTTCAGATCAAACCCTGGTCTGCAGAATGGTACCAGAAGGATACTGTATCATAATTATGTTGCTTAACACGCTTGTTTTTCTTTTTCAGATTACTGCTGATGGGAGCCAAGATGTCATTACAACAGATTGCGTTCCGCCTGCTTTTGCTCTCCTCACAGACTGCATCAAAGCCTACTGCTACGTGATTGGTCAAATCTGACAGCAATCTTATACCCAACAAAAACCAGAAAAATTCAAAAACTCTGGTTTGTGTTCTGTTCAGTTTCCATGCTTTCATCCTTTCTTTTGTAATCCTCTTATTCTTGTCTCAATAAAAAGAACAGCTTCAGGAGACCCCCCTGACTCTTCTGAATGTTTCCTTGTGTGCACAGAGATGATGTGAAGAAAAGAGGAATCATTCAACATGTGAGCGTTACCTCAGTGTCTGCACTGGCGTTCGAATGAGATTCTGCTTCTTTTTCCTGCACTTGCTCTGACTTCACTGCCTCCTTCTCTTCCACTTCCTCTGCGTGACCGTTCACTTCTGGAGCAGGCCCCTCCTCTTCCTGTGTCGCCTTGCTTACTTCTTCCTCTGTGGGCAGGGCTTCTTTGGTCGGGGAGGTCTAGTTTAGGTAAGAAGAAATAAAACAAAGACAAAAATCAGAGCAAAAATCTTTTAAAGCAGCCGTGTCAACATTAGAGTTGTAGGATACGAGTCGTACCTGGCTCTGAGACTTCTGCTTCTTAAGCCATGTTGGCAGATATCGAGAAATTCCTTTTCCCTCCTTCCCCTCTTTCTCCTTCTCTTTGTCCTTGTCCTCTCCTGCGACGTCCACTACTTCCTTACTGTCTTCCTTTGCCTTCTCTGATGGGTCCGGCTGTGCGGCTGACTCCTCGGCGTTCTCCTTCACCTCTGTCTCAGAGCCTGCTTCTGTTGTCATCGTGACCCGTCAACCTGAAAAGAAGAAGAAAAGAGAGCATTAGATTCTACTTTGATTTCAAGTATCATAAAAATGTTGAGGAGTATCATGTATATGATACATTCAATTCAATTTGGGACGGTATACCGAATCATCTTTCATTTTGGTTCGGCTGCTGGATACCATCACAAAGAGCTGGAGTAAAATCTGAGTTCAATGTTGAATTTGGCACAAATATGAATTTTTTATGGAACACAACTTGAAATTTAGTCCGGAGTATCTTTTATAAATGAGCCACATGCTCCAATTTTTCCTTTCTCTCTTTCTCTTTCCTCCACAACAGGAGAAGATGAAATGGCAGACAAAGAAAATATCTCTGGAATTATACGACTATTAAGCACTTAAACTATGTCATGTAGAGAGTAAAACGCCTAACTTAACTACATTAGGCTTATATAAGCCAGCTGATTGTGGTCCTTTGGCTCGCAGCTGTTAACACATGATCTCATAGCTGTTTGAAAGATTACATCTTGAGTCTGAGTCGTCTGCTTCTCCTGTACTAAAAACCCCAGAGTTTAGGATGTCATTATGTCACACACTGAGGTTCATGTGGGTCAAGCAGCTGGTTACAAGGAATTGATCACAAGAAGGGAATTATTTGAGTCTTAATATCTGACTCATTGGTTTTACCCTGCAGCTGTGGTCAACACACACACACACACACACAGATACACACACTTCAACCCAAATGTCTTTGGCAGCACTGTCCACACACACGCCCTATTACAGCGACGGACGCAGTTATTCAGCCTGACAATCATTTGTTGATAACACTAGATGACCATGACATTGGTTTGGGGGGGGGGGGGGGAATTAGGTCAGAATGTGCAAACCTGCCTGCTTAGGGGCGTTTACCTGTGTGCACAGTGTGTGTGTGTGTGTGTGTGTGTGTGTGTGTGTTCAGGAGCTGATTCATTCACTTTCAGTCATGTCATTCACTCTGCTTTCAGTTGTTTTGAATATTCCTCAGCCTGTTTTTCCCCCCCTTTCCCTTTGATTTTGTACTCCATTACATCGTCTTCCTGAACACTTTCTCCTTTCTGCCCCGCCACCTTGAATAAGAGGACACTCGCATGCACACACAATGCAGCAGTAGTGTGCAGGGAGGGTGGGGGAGTAAAAATAGAACAGGTCTCCTTACGCATGATCGGCTAATGAGGTAGGAGGTGGGGGGGGATGGATGGAGAGAGGTGTGCATGTAGGTGTGTGCAAATGTCAGAGAGGCAAGCTAGCACTGTACTGTGTGCCTGTGCAGATAGAGGGGAAAATCTTAGTATCTTAGTACCTTAGTATGAGGGAGTCCCACTGACATTACATAACAAACAGAACATGTACAAGCCCATTTGCTTTAAAGACAAACCTTTCAAATCAGGTCACTCGTACATTTTTTAGTTCTGGTAACAGTGTTTGCTGTGGGGATGACAATCTGAGACTGTTGGTCAGGTGATGGTTCAGTTTAACACTTTGTTCCAGACTGACATATTTCATCAACCACTGGATGGATAACTGGGTGACCTTTAGTACAGACAGTCTTTGTCCCTGAGGGTGAGTCCTACTGACTCAGACCCTGACATTTTCTCTGTTGCTATGACGTTCACATTTTTTGGTATTTCGGAAATTCTTTTGAGGGAACAGAAGAAAAGCAACCAATTTATTTCTGTGAAATTCATTGCAGTTATGTGCCCCCTCAGGATGAATTTGTATCGCTTTACCTTAAGCTGTCTAGTGTCCTCTATTTGTCTTTCAGCTTAGTTTACGGAAAGAAAAAAAAAAACATTCCCCTGCTTACAAGTTAAACTAACATGATGAACATGTTTGAGGATTGACCTGCTAAACGTCCACATGTTAACAAAGACACTGTATATAAAACTAGCTCATTATTAGCTTTTGCCAATGGCATGAAAATTCCTGTCTCCTTAGAAGGCATGTTGTATTTTTACCCTCCGAAACATTTGATAACAACAAGAGGAAAAAAAAACAAAACAGAAACTGTTCAGCTCCAAAAAAAAAAAGGGAAGACATGTGATGGCAGATCTCAAGCAAAAATGTACTTTTCCCTCTTATTTGACGTTCCAGAAAATGCCATTAAGGTAGAAAGATGTTCAGAATATATGCGGTTTGTTAAAAAAAAAAAAAAGGGTCCAACATTCACTTCTCCCCATTAGAGTGAATCTGTACAGGACCTGCTGCTGGTCTCCTAAAGGGGCAGGGCAGTTGGGAAACCCATGTGACAGCTACACAGGAAAAGATGAAGTGTGTTGTCCTTTTCTGAATGACAATTAGAAATAGCTCGTCATAGGTGTGTTGCTTTAGTGTAATGTGGACCATGTTCATCTTTACTACACATGGTTTATTCTAAGTTAACAGATGAAACAACATGTACCCAAATGAATGGGCGGGGCAAACTGTGTCAGATGAAGTCAGTTCAATCCAGTCTCAGCTCTACTAGTCTTTGCTGAGCCACTAGCTGTGGGCCATGCAGGCATGTTTACACACTGATACTCAGGGTTTGAAATGTGCAGGAAAGGGGATTTGGGGAAATGTTTGAAGTGTGCAGGCTGCCATCTGTGCAAGAGATCGAAATCAATTTTAAATCAACTGGAGCATATGTTTTGTCCACATGTTTGTTGCGATGCCCTGAAGTAGAGCCATCAAAAACAGGGCTGTTTGCTACCTCCTTACTGCAGTCCCGTCTCCTCTGAGATGCCTGTTTTCTCAGCGGACTATCTAGCAGTCTGCTGGCATCAGGGTGCAGCTTTTTGCAAAACCTCGTCACGGCCACTTAGGCCTGTTTTAAACCGGCCCTCTCTCTCTCTTCTTCTTTGCAGCCCAGGGTGCCTCTCTCTCTTTTTTCAACAGATCCCTGAACTCATCTCTCTCTCTCTCTCTCTCCCACTCTCTCCTCTCCCACAATCCCTTTCTTCCGGGGCCCCTTTCAATCCTGTCCATTGGTCCACTCACACTGTCTCCCCCTGAAAACCCCTTCCTCCTCCTCTCTCTCTCTCTCTCTTCTTCCCACAGTCCATATAAACAATGGTGGTGACATTATTACAGCCTCTCTTCATAAATATACACGCATATACACAGACTGAATGGTTTATGGCAGTAAAACTATCTGTAGAGCATCTAATTGTTCGGGTTCTGGCGGTCATTACAGCACAGTGCTGAAATATGAATGGGGTCAAATAAGGGATAAATGAGCTGCTCGCTGACAATGCAACAAAACTTCTCCCGTATGTTTGGGGTTTAAATATCTCATGCCATGAGTTTGACTTTTTCATCAAGTAATGCAGAATTAGTCTCAAGAAAAATAATGCACATCTTGTGATGTTGGTGATTTAATCTGTCAATTAGCAGCAATCACGTAACCTAGTTCTCCTCAAGGCAGAAGAAAAGCCTCCAGGATCATTATTAACGCAGAATTGGCCACTTAAATGTAATCCGTTTGTGTACACGATAATGAAGAGGATGTTTTCCAATTAGCACAGACATAGACAAAGCAGCTCTTTCTCTTTAATAAATGTAAAATAACCTAACGTTTTCTCTTCCAATCATGTTATCTAAAGCCTTACTTTTTGTCTGCTTGCTTACAGCCCAAAGTCGATCAGCAGCATTTATTTAACTTTTAGTTTGTAATCTTATTATTTGCTTTGGCTCAAGCACATTAGATTATAATGTTTTCTTGAAATAAATTCCATTGCCGTGAACGCCAAATCAAAGAAAAGTAAAAATACTTTTACAATGGCAATGACTGGACCATTTAATCTTTAGCTCAGTGGACAGCTCCTGAAGGCTTTACTTGTACCTGTACCTGTCATTTACCGCATATCTTTGAATTAAAAGATCAATCGATTCCAGTTGTCTTACCTATTGTTGCTTCTTCTTCCTCCCTTTTTTCCCTCCTAGCCTTTGGTCTCTCCTCGTATCCTTCTCTTTATTCTCACTTTCTTTTAACCTTGTTTCTTTTTTAGCCTCCTCTCCTGTTCCTTCACTTTCCTTCCCCACCTCTAAGCAGAAGGCCTGCCCTACAAACTGTCATTGCCATTTTCTCTCTTCCATCCTCTCCTCTCTCTCCATCCCAGCTCTGTGTCTGCCTCCCTGGGGACTTTTGCTCGGAGAAACAAGGGCAGAAAACGAGAGAACGGGGAGGGGCTGTGTGAATGAGAGGAGCAGAACTGAGGCATAAGGGTAGCTGGGGGAGAAATTGAAAGAGGATAGAATTGGATGCAAAAAGTAGTAGTAGAGAGGGTACACTTTCTGTGTCAGCTTACTGATACAATCCATAATCCCTCAGAGATTCTCAACAACATTGAAAAATTACTTTATATTCTTGGACTCCAATACACCTATGTATGAACACCCTCCACAGTTCTGTCATGGCGTAAATCCATTTTGAATTTTGCACTAACTTTTACTGACCAAGCTCTTTACTCAGTTACACATTGAAAGCAAAGCTGTGTTGTTTACCCTTCACACGTAAAATATATAGCAGTTGCAAAGTTGCACTGAAACTATAGTTCTCACTTCTCCCACTTACAACTTTACAGACGTCTGTCTGGTTTTAAGGGGTTGTCGTCATAGCAACAACAACTTCCTGGCCTGTGGACGTGAGATGCAACTTTGTGAGACACAAGTGGAGGATTTAGAGCAAAAAATCAAGAAAAAAGGAGAAAAAGACAAAAAGAGTTTACCTAAATGGTACTACAGGTTTCACATATCTGTTTTTTTACTACCTGATAAAGCAGACAGGACTGCTCTAAGGTCAATAAAGCAGATTTACACCCCAAACCTCTCACTGATGGGCAGAAAGGGGGCAAAGAGAGGGGCGGAACTGGTTTCCGTGGCAACCACATTCATGGACTACAACAATAAATCCCCATGGAGACAAGAGATTACTGCAGAAAAATACAGATTAGTGGACAAGCGTAGGAGTGACAATAGAGATTATTACCGTGCCTAAACCCATTTCAAACCG